GGGGCTTTGCAGGATGAGGACACCCTGCCACTCCCCTTCTCTCTGCGGCTCTCTGGGCTCCTCTGGGTGGGGTGCACAACAGCTTCTCCAAGTGGCTGGCTTCACCCATCCTCGCTCGTTTCTCAGACATGTAAGCACAGCGAGCGATGGGCACAGGAGATGGGCAAGGCCTTGGAGATGGGGGGAATTTTCCTTCTGTGCCTTGGAGTATGTTTTATCTCCTTTTTAAAAAGTTGCATTTATCATTGATTGCTTGTGATCTGGCTTATCCTTTTTAAATGTATATATATATATACATATATATATATATTTGATTTCAGAGAGGAAGGGAGAGGGAGAGATAGAAACATCAATGATGAGAGAGAATTATTGATTGGCTGCCTCCTACATGCCCCCTACTGGGGATTGAGCCTGAAATCTGGGCATGTGGCCTTGGCCAGAATCAAACCTGGGATCCTTCAGTCCACAGGCCCACGCTCTATCCCCTGAGCCAAACCGGCTAGAGCGTACTGGCTCATCCTTGAGACTAGCAGTAGCGGGGCTGGGAGGAGGATGGTTTTCTATGAGACAGAGGGATCTGTTCTTACATGGTGTTCGCATAGCACTGAGCTAGGGGCATATTGGATTCAGGTGGTCTAATAGGAAGACTTCTCCATTAGGAAAAGCTATTGAACAAAGACACGAGTGTGTTGAAAAACATGGTAGATTTTGATCCATTAGAAGTGATACTTCCTAGAGGTAGAGGGATAGATTATGTTCCGTTCCAGTAACATAAACAGTAACTGCAGGACCCTTCTTGGAAATCCCAGGGATTTTGTGAGCACCAGGCGCCCCCTGGCGTCCAAGTGGCAGACTGGGTTTCCTTGTTTTTAATTCTGACCAAAACAGCGCAGGGGAAGGAGGGCTAATCTCAATTTCATTTGTGCCTGGGGTCAGGGAGGTTGTGGGGAGTAACAGGACAGAGGGAGCCGGCTTCAGAATGTGGCTTATCCAGTCCCCTGGATGCTGTCCTGCACCCAGACCCCTAGGAGTAAAAGCCGACAGTGCCCATGGCTCCTCATTCACTATCACCGCACGGAGACCAGGCCCATACTGTGGAGACAGGCTGGATTTGGGAATTAAAGGTACTAGCGCTCAATCTCTAGTTTAGCCAACAGACAGTGTGACTTTGCACCAAGCACTTACGCTTTAGGAGAGCGGCCCCTTCACCATGGGCGGGAACAAGGTGGCTCCCGGTTACTGTGAGGATGAGACAAGGTGGGAAGTGCCTCTCAGTAAATCCTAGGCCCCTTTGTCTCTTCCCTGCCCCTCACCCCACATTTGAAACAGCTTCCTAGATCCAATTCCCTCGACACACAGACATGGGCTGGCTTCATGAACGTGCTATTTCTACCTATAAAGATATTATAAAGATTTGTGAGCTTTTGTGGATTTTTTTTTTTTTTTTTGCTGGTTTCATTGATTTTAAACAGTAAATCTCCCTCGAACCTGACCCTGAAATAGCTCGCGCAACCATTTCCAGCTGAGATGTGGCCATTTGCTCTTTGACGATTATGAGGAACTGCTGAGCTTTCAAGCCTGCGCTGTCTGCGGTCAAATGAGGTGATGCACTTGCTTAATGGGCTGCCCTGGAGTTGCCAGCAGACTCTCTGACAGCAACAGCGACAGCTCTCCCCTGGCTGCCATAGTGCCTGTGGCTTCACTAAAAGTCAGGAATAGATTTTCCTAGTAAGTCGCTCTGATGTAACATCAAAATATTTTCCTAACAGGTTTCAAATCTGGTTAGTTTTTACTTTTATTTTTATTTGGGGCAGCTTTCTATCACAGAAGAGTTCAGATGGATTAGAAGACTTTTCTACACTGGGAGGTGTTTCTCAGTGGTTAGAGCACCAGGTACCAAAGTGTTGTGGGTTTGATTTCTGGTCAAGGGCACATAACTGGGTTGCAGGTTTGATCCTGGCCCCAACCAGGGTGCGTGCAGGAGGCAACCAATCGACTGTATTTTTTTCAAGTGGATAGTTCTCTCTCTTTCTTTCCTTCCCTTCCATTCTCTCTAAAAATCAATGGGGGAAAAAATACCCTTGGATGAGAATTAACCAAAACAAAAAAAAAAAAAGAAAAAAGAGAGGAAAAGAAAAAAGAAAGAAAGAAAAGAGAAAGGACTCTTTTGCCCTCCAGTTTTACTAAGGAGGGAGGAAAGAGGAATCGGTGGTAAGCCTAGATGGTAGAGTTAAATGCAGAAATATTTTACTGATTTACTTCTTTTACTGTAGCCTTAAAAGAAAGGGGAGTGAATTAGAACACATGAATAGATCACTTTGAAAACTTGCCTGGTGTGTAAGGGAAGGGGCAGCAGGGCACCCACTAGTGTCTGATGCACCAGCACTGAGTTCCAGGTCACTCAGGTGTGTGTGTGTGTGTGTGTGTGTGTGTGTGTGTGTGTGTCTGTGCATGTCTTTGGGCATGATACTCAACCTCTCCTAATTCCCTAGTTTTCTCTTTGGAAAATGAGGCATCATAATAGTGCCTACCATAAGGTTGCTGAGGAAATGATATCTGATAATGCATTATGGCGCACATTCACATAAAAACTGTTCAATAAAAGTATGTCTACTATTATTCATTCACATTTTCTTCATTAACTTATCTTGGGTTCATAATGTACCTTTCACAAGTTTCCTTGGCAATTTACAGAAGTAAAGGTGGCCTTACTTCACTTCCTGCTGCAATTGAAGAGCAGCTGCTACTTTAACCACCTAGGGATGAGATGCAGAGGGAGGTCTTAAGCAATCTTGTCACAATTCTGCCAGCCCTCCACTTGGCTCTGAAAACAGAAGGTGCTGAGGAAATGCTTGTCTCCTAATTTAGAGCCACATGCATGCTAACTGTTAGAAAACATGCCAGTACTTACACATGCAGTCATCTTCCCATGTTCTCTTCTGCCAGCACACTGCTTCTGGGAGCTGAGGGTTGTCCCAAATGAGGTGCCCCTGGTTTGCTCTTAGTTTGGGTTCAAATGGAGACATTTGTCATTAAGTGCCATAAGTCAGGTTCTCCAAGCAATGTTTCATTTGTCATCCCCCGGCACTGCTTTGTCACCTAAAGAAGGACCAGAACCTTTCATTATTTTACCCCATTTATTTATTCTGCAGTGTTTAAGCCCAAGTTCAACACCCAACCACAGTATTTCCTGCCACTGCATTTCATTGCACCTTACTAGAAAAGTACAAGAGGAAATACTGCTAAGTCATTATCTTGATGAAAAGTAAAGATTTCAGCAAGTTTACGGTAGCACAAAAGCAAGCAATACCAGAACCAATGTTACCAAAGACTTTGTATGAGAACCAAGATGGTTGTGGTGGTTATCTTTGATAATGATAGTCTTCACCTTTAAAAAGGTGCCAACAAAATGAAAATAACAATAGCTAACATTTATTGAGCACTCAGCTTTGACGTGAATTCATTAATTCTTATACTGTCTGAAGTAGGCACTCTTGTTATCCCCAGTCTAAAGATGAGAAAACTAAAGTGTACAGAAATTAAGTGACCTGCCAATGGTGAAGCCAATGCTAAGGGAAGAAATGAGGTTTGACTCCAGCAACTTGATCCAAGAGTCTTTGTTCTTCACCACTCGTGAATCAATTTTAGACAGATTTATCACAATTTTTAAAAGGCAGTCATCTGGGAAAGATGCTTAGAAGCAAGAAGGTGGACTAGACAAGCTCCTAAGATAGCTTTTACTCCGTGATTCTGCCAAGCCAACACCACATAAGCCTCCCCTTCCCTGTGCTGACCCTGGGGCTACCTCTGAGCATAGACTGAAGTTTTTCTCAAGTTCATCTTGATGTCTATTATCTCCCCCATGAGCATTCATTCTCTCCTTTCTCCTTGCCAAAGGCTAAGACAAGCTTTCAAAGGCTTGAGGAAATAAAATGTCAGGCCTTGTGTCTTCCTCAGGCTTTAGAGACTGGAAATTCTACATATACTAGGATGTGTTCTATTTGAGGAGAGCTTCTGGCCCCCCAAAAAGAATCTTAGGTTTGTGAGAATCTTCAAATGTCATTCAAGTCAGCCACCCCGACCTCATATTGCTTGAGTCCTTCCCAGCATGTCCACTCCTGGGAAGGAAAAGGGCTGTCTTTCTTGTGCTTGCCCACCAGCTGTGCTTGCCATTCTGTCAAGTTCTTACTGGCCAAAGAACTCCTCCTTAAATGGTGCTAAACTTGAACTCTATGTAACTTCCATCCATGACTCTGGTCAAGGACACCATTCTATGCCACCTGGCATGGGCTGAATTCCTGTGAGGGCCTTTCAAGTGGGCTGCCCTGTCTCCCAGCAGGCTCTTCTTCCAAGAAAACGACTGCAGAGTCTTTAGTTCTATTGCAGCTAAACTGATCTTCAGATAACTTCGATCTTCTGGCCACCCTCTCTAGCATGTCTGTGGCTACATGAGAGTGAGCTTCCCAGCGGCAATGGCAAAAGTTTACCATGCTCCGAGCAGTTGCAAGTACACATAACCATCACCAACCTTGCTCTATATGTTGCTAGTTTAAAATTTAAACCAAGATCAAAACATCATTTACTTTCTTTTTTTTTTTTTCCTTGCAGGGATAGGGTCGGGGTAGGCAGTTACATCATAGCATTGCATCACTCTGTTGACTCATTTAGGGTGACTATTGCATAAAATACCTCAATCATTTCCACGATGTGGCTCTGAATCCCATGCTTGCTTTTTTGGGAGCCACAGCAAAGCCCCGGGTTTCCCCCGCTATCACTCCATCTTGTTAATCCATGGTTAGAACTCAGAAACATTTAGATCCAGATTCTATCACCTCATGTATTCCCCTGGTGGGTTTACAAACCTGCCTTTGTGTCTTTATTTAAATCAATGACAACACGTGCTCCTGTGAAGGACAGAACTCAGGTCAGATTCCAGTCCACTTTGGAGGTGAAGTGGCCGGTGGGAGCAGGGGTTCCCAAGGAAGGCTTGAGTGCTTAGAGAGTTTCTGACCAGACACTTTTATTTATTTCATTCAGAATATACGTTGCAATTTGTAAAGTATGGAGATAGCTGTTTACATTTCTGCTCATGAAGAAACGCCCGATTTGTTAAAAGGGTGTTAGCAGCAGGAGGTGGAAAGTGAGTAGGAAAATGAGAAGTGTCTATATACCCTGGTTATCATTTTTCTCAAAGGTCCAAGAGCATGCAGAAGCTGACGGGGGATCACTGGCCAGGAGGCTTGTCTTATGCTTTCAACACTCAGAATTTCAGAGTTGTTCCTTTAGGATGGCTCCACACCCTGAATGAAGTTTAAGAAAGCATTTTGGCTTTTAAAACCCACTGTCTAATTTTACCTTCCTTCCCTTCCTTCCTCCCTTCTCCCCTCCCTCATCCTCATAAATTGTGGCTGCATTTAAGTTGTCACAATTGATTTATAGATATTAAAAAGCTTTTCATTTTGAGAATATTTAGCTAGTTCCTCTACCGATGAGACTATAATCTCTCATGCTCTTGAGAATCATTGAGATTAATAGTATGGAAAAGATCCCAAATTGATCACTTTTCTTACAAGTTCTCCTCATTAAATATGGGCTGGGTTGCCAAAGAAGTTATGGAGTTTCTGGGGAGACTTTAAATTGAAGAGATTTTCTTCAGCCTGGATGGCTTGGCCATGTCCTGTCCACAGACAGAGAAATGGATACAATGATCCCTGAAGCCCTTTGTTTTGTGACCACTGGGTCCCAGACGGCTCACCATGGAGGGAGGCTCCGCCGCAGTGTTTCTGGACTAGCAGGTCATGAGAAATCACTATGGCAACACTGAAGAGTCTCTGAGGAACCATAGGTAAGGAGTCCCTGTAGAAGCACTCAAAGGCTTAAGGAAGCTTCAGGATTTTAAATGAACTGACACATTGATGGCACAACTAATGAGGGTGGCAAGCTTGACCTTAAGTGATAGATTGCCCCTTCGTCAGAAAGGCTGATAGATGCTGATTTCTGAATGCATTCAACAAATATTTATTGGACACAGGTCTATGTGCCAAATGTACTATGAAAGGGAATACAAAAATAAGCAAACACCATGGTTCCTGATTTCGTGGAACTTAACATCTGATACGGGAGACTAATATAAACTAACTAATCACACAAATAATTACAGAGTTGGTAAGTGTAAATTACAGGACACAGTGGAATGCATAAGATGGGAACCTAGCTGGGATGAGAAGGTGGTGGTCAGAATTTGGAATTGTATGGGCTTCTCCAAGGAAGAAGATGAGATCTGTAGGAGGAGGAAACTAGACAAGCAGGTAAAATTGGAACATTCCAGGGAGGATCATGGGCACAGACCCTGAGGTGGCAAAATGAGGACAACAGCCTAAAATGAGGTTTGTGAGGAGTGCCAGGGCAAGGTAGTGCATATTATGCATTTTAGTCTTTAGCCAAAGTGCAATGGGAACACATTGGAGGGTTTCAGAAAGTGGTGGCAAGGAGAAGAGTAGAACGATCAGATTTCAATTTTGAACAATTCTGACTGTGAGGGAAAATCACTGAAGGTACACAGGGATGAATATGCTACATTGAGGTAAGAGATGACGGAAGCTTGAACAGATGATTGCACTGAAGGTGATGAGAAGTAGAGGGACTTGAGATTTCCTTAGGAGACAAAATTAACAGTAGTTGGTGCTGGACTGGGAAAGTGTATTTGGGGTAAAGGAGCTAGAGACTTCAGATCTGTTTACATTGTGGGTGTCCACATACAGGACACTGGTGCATTTTTAGATCAGATCAGAATGAAAGTCCAAGAGATTTTCCAGGTTCCTCCAAAATAAATGAGGAGGGATTCCCCCAGGCTAGAGGTGGTAGAAGACAGCATCTGCATTCATCTTGGTCATAGATTCCTGGAGAAGCTCCTCCAAGGCATCCTGAGTAGTGGCTTCCAGTTTTTGGATGATAGTAAGTTCTGTGAAGAAAGGGACCATATCCACTGTGTTCCATACTGCAGGCCAGTGCTTAGAAGAATTCCCAGCACATATGTCTCCAAAAATATTATAGATAAAAATAATTTTCCCAAGAGCACAAAGAAGAACACAAGCCATGGCAAGATGTAGGAACTCACACCTCAGACTCCTGGTGCAGCGGCTTTCCGATGTTCCTATCACCACCCTCTCTGGTCTTGTGCTTCTGTTGAGACTTATGCCTTTATACTCCAAACATCCACCTTTTCATTTAGTTTTAAAAGCTTTGAAAGCTGTTGGGTGAGAATATTTGGTTTTATTTTGAGGTGCTATCATATTTGGAAGCTTTCATTTAAGTAGGACTTTTCTTTGGTTAGATGAAACAGGGAGTTACCAATTGTAACTACTGGGAGAAATGAGCAAAGAAAGCAGGTCTAGGCAGAACAAAGGATATCATACTATTAGGTAGGCCCCCAAACAGGACTAGAATGGTTGAAATTCAGCAAAGGAGGTTCTTTCAGGTTCTGAAAGTCTTCCTGGAGCCCTGGAAGGTCAGAGAGCAGCAGGCCAGACATTTTTAAAGCAGTAAAATGAAAGTAAAATTTTAAAGCAGTAAAAAGCCAAGGTCTGGGAATTCAAGGTGAGAAGAAAGAGCCCCGGCAAACAACATTAATGAACTTCAGTTCCAAGGACAAATCGAGTGAGGGTTGATTGGTGGTTAATGTAACCAGAAGAAATTAGAGATAAACAGATGAACTGTCTTTAGGGCCAGGGCCAAGCTGGGGATGACTTCACAGGTAGGTAGTGACAATAGTTTAGCTAACTTTGCCTGAGAATTCTTCTACCTGATCTTGCTGTGTTTTTCTTCATTTTCATGCAAAAATGATGAGTATATGTATCTTCCTTCAAAATCATGACATATGTATCCAGGTGGGCTGATACCATTGGTAATTTGATTTTTCAAAGTCATAGATATGTTGTACACTTGAAAGGAGGACATTGCCTCATAGGCAGATGTTTCCAGAAAGGTAAATGAAAAGAGATAGAATTGCTGATATATTTAAATGGACATGATTTTAAGCTGCAGATTTAAATATTCTCTTCATAATAAGTGGTGTGTGTGTGTGTGTGTGTGTGTGTGTGATAATTTCTCTGGCTCTTTCACCCTATATGATTCTGCAACAAATGTTGAATTCTGACATTTCATGCGTTTTATGTAAATGTCAGCAAAACTTTGTGAGTGATATGGATATTAGAATCTGGGGAAGCATCCATTAGAGAACCATTTTTTTGGATGGTGAGTGGGCCTAGGGTCAATCCAATTTGGAACCATAAATATGAGCAAGGAGCAGAGCAGCTCACACTGTAACTATAAAAAGAGTCATTAATTTAGTTCTGTATCTTCATGGGGCTTCAGAGACCATTCAAATGTAGATTTCCAACCACCCCAGGTGTAAATTACATCAGGTATTTTTAGTCTTGTTCTATTTGCAATCACCAGAATAAACATAACTATTTCCTACATTTTTGTTCTTTTGGAATGGTTGGTTACTCTGTTGTTACCACTTCTCTACCAGACAGTTGTTTGTGCCTCGGTGCTCACGGTGGTCTCGAATGGGCTGTTCATCCTCCCTAGTCCCCTCTAGGATAGGAAGGCTTGCCTTGGAATCTCCCTGCCTCCACTTTTATACCCATTTCTGTTTTCAGTCCTCTATTCCTTTCCCTTCCCTCCTACTTCCAGTCCTCCCTAGTGTTTGTCTACTGCCCTTTAGCTTATACCAGTCACATAACACTTCATAACCCTTCTTCTCCTGCCCCATCAAAGCTCACAGAATGGAGTTCCAGTCCTTCAGAGTCTTATTCTCAGTAAGATAACAGAACACATCTAATCCACTTACAAAAGTAGTCTACTTATCTCTGAACATTTTGATAAGGGACATATATTAAACATTCAGGAATGGGGGTGGGGAGTATGGGTTAAGCAGTGGTAGAGATCATTTTGGATGGGGAAACCTTTACATTTTTCTTACATCAGACCAAGCAGGCAAAGCCTAAATATTGGGCAGGTACCATTCCTGCCCTTCTTTTCAAGGAAGGCTTGAGAAGAGACTCTGGGATAGCACCAGGGTTGGTGGGATCTCTTCATTTATCAAAAGAAGCATGATCTAAATGAGTCCAGGTTGGATTAGGTAAGGAATAAAATTAAAAAGGAGATATGTCCTTGATATCAGCCAAATTCATAGCCCGCAGCAGACATTTGTGGTTAGCTGAGTCACACTGCCTTGGGATTAGCCAGCTCTACTTTCTGTTTCAACAATAAAAAGTCTTGCAACACTGTTGGCATGTGAGACAGAGGTATCCAGAAAGTCTTGGCATCTTTTCCAGCAGCATAACGGGTCTTAGGGAAGAGACTTGTGAGAGCATGGTCCATGCACTCCACCACCAGGGAGAGGTCCATGTTCACAAAGGATACAGTGCCCCTCAGCTTGTCCATACCTGTATAAAGAGAACAAGTGTGTTTACTCTTTGGCAAAAGGGGAAAAGGAGTCTGTAGAGGTGAGGGTACAAAGGGGAAGATGTGTTAGTGGGAATTTTGAATTTGCCATTATAATAGAGGCACATTGTGATGGGTTTCTATCTATTTATCAGGAAATAATGCAGCAATACTTTCTCCAGCGGTTCTCAACCTGTGGGTCGAGACCCCTTTGGGGGTCGAACGACCCTTTCACAGGGGTCACCTAAGACCATCGGAAAAACACATATATAATTACATATTGTTTTTGTGATTAATCATTATGCTTTAATTATATTTAATTTGTAACAATGAAAATACATCCTGCATATCAGATATGTACATTATGATTCCTAACAGTAGCAAAATTACAGTTATGAAGTAGCAACAAAAATAATTTTATGGTTGGGGGTCACCACAACATTAGGAACCGTATTAAAGGTTCGTAGCATTAGGAAGGTTGAGAACCGCTGCTCTAGACGGTTGGCTCTCAAAATTGAGTGGGTAGCAGAATTCCCTGGAGGTCTTGTTAAGGCCCAGATCGGTGGGTCCCACCTGCAGCAGGTGTAAGGTGGGGCCCAAGAATTTGCATTTCTATCAAGTTTCCAGATGATGCTGATGGCACTGGTCCAGAGACCAAACTCGGAGAGGCACTACTTTAAAGCAACAAGGGAAACAACGTCATAAAGTATATGAGGCTCCTGAGCCCAGGGAGTTATGGGTTTGATTTTGGGTGTGTTTCGAGGGAGTCCCATGTTTACAGGAAATGTGGGAATGCATGTGCACTTAAGCATGTGTGTGCGTGCACTCATGTGTCATGTGCCTCTGTAATCCAGTGAATAAATAGAGAATCATCACTCCAAAGCCCTGACTCAGGAAGCTGAAGAGGTCTACCTTCTCAGGTAAGTGAAGTGCTTGAGTAATGAGCTAAGACACTTTTGATGAGGCTGGTGCGTCATCAAGGGATTGGTAATGACTTGGAACATTCCTCCTGTGCTTTTTGTTGTTGTTGTTGTTGCTGCTGTTGTTGTTAATCCTCACCCAAGGATATTTTTCCATTGTTTTATAGAAAGAGTGGAAGGTATGGGGAGAGTAGAGAGGGGAACATCGATGTGAGAAAGACACATGGATTGGTTGCCTCCCACATGCAACCTGGGCCAGGAATCAAGCCTTCAACTGACTGGAATCAAACCCAGGACCCTTTAGTCTGTTGATGCTCTACCCATTGAGCCAAACCAGCTAGGGCCTCCTGTACTCTTAAAACATATCTGAGGTCCTGGCTGGTTTGGCTTAGTGGATAGAGCATCGGCCGAGGGACCGAAGGGTCCCAGGTTTAATTCTGGTCAAGGCCACATGATCAGGTTGCGGGTTCGGTCATCAGTGGGACCTGCAGGAGGCAGCTGATAGATGATTCTCTCTCATCATTGATGTACCTCTCTCCCTCTCTCTTTCTGAAATAATAAAAATATTTTAAAAGAAAAAAACATACCTGAGTTGTGTCTTCTCAAAAGAAAACTATTATTTTAAATCTTCCTTTCAACTTCAGGCCCCAGTAGCCACAAGTTGATCAAAGAGTCTAAATGAGGTTACCTAATAAGCCTTAGTGGCTATTTTAAACTCCTATTACTCCAGCTTGGGAAACGAAGAAAGGTGAGCTTAAGTTTGTGGTCTACTTCGAAACAGTGAGTCTGGCTGATCTCCAAAACCTGACTTGGAAAACTCTAAAAAGAACAATCAGTGTAACATTGGGCTCAAAGCCACATGGTACTTCTGAGACAGGACATTTGAACCAGGGGCTAGTGCAAACATAATTTTGAGATGGAAGTTGGTGATATACTCATAGGCATTTATAAAGTATCAATGTTAGTATCAAATGGAGAGAACGCTTTTGAAAGAGCATTTTGTTTCTGAATCTACTTAGAACCTTCAGAGTTGGTGAGTGAGGAATAGTATTTAACGGCAGAGGTTTTAAATCTATAGTGACATGTCAGCACTGGGAGGTTTGTCAGACCAGAAGTTACAGTTGATATTTAGGGTGTCCCCCAATGATGTATATATTTATATTAACAGCTGATAATTCACTTAATTTTCACTCCTTTTCAGGTTTAACTGACTTGAAATAATGGGTGAAGCCAGACTAAACTTTGAACAAAGAAAATTTATCCTAAAGTGCTGCTAGACTTTTTTTTTATGGGGATACATAAAAGATAAAGTTTATGGTACAAAGCTGTCAAAGAATCAAGGCAACAGTAGAAGAATCAAGGGCACATAAATACTGAACAAAATGATTCTTGATGTTTGCCATTCCATTGCTTCGAGTTATCAGTGATGGCTGGATCAGAATGGTCATTAGTTTGAAAACAGGCATTGACAAAAAAATTATTCATTTCTGCAGATTATTTTAAATTTTGAAAATGAACTGTATGTTAATAAACACTGACTTTATAATAATTAAAAGTGCATATTCATTTTTGGGGGGACACCCTGTATATGTGTATATGTTTGCATCTGTGTGTGCGTGCGTGCGTGTGTGTGTATGTGTAGTGGGTGGGGTGGTTGAGGGAGTCAGTCATTCTAAAAACCTCCCTAGGTGGATCTGCCTTGGTCTTTGCTCCACCTTGTGAACTACTGGCCTTGAACCTTACCACAGTTGGCTGTCTTACCAAGCCCATTGATGAAGAGGCTGGATTGCAGCTTGGAGGAATAGAGTGACACAAAGTTAGGTGGGGCAGGGTCAGGAAGTTTGAGGTGGAGGCGCAATCCTGATACAGGAACTTCAACCAGCTCCTTAATGTCTGTTGACATTATAGTGTGGTGCAAAGTCAGGCTACCTGTGTTCAAATCTAGTACTTCCACTTATATAACTCTGCAACTTTGGGCAACTTACTTCTCTGTTTCTATAAAATTAAGGTGGTCTCTATTTCATACGCTTTATTTGGGCATTTTATTTATTTACTTTTTACTTAAACATTTTAAATGAAAGTTCATGTAAAGTTCTTATAGTGGGGACAAGTACACATTATTATTTCTCCATCCCTGACTCAGTCTCTGGACTTAGTTACTTCTTCTATCTCCACTCCCTGTGCTTTCCTGCTCCAGAAAGTTTTTACCCAAATAATTCCTTCCTGTACTTTGGGCTTTATTCAAACCTGACCTGTCCCATAAAGATTTCTCAGCCACTATTTTCTTTTTCTTGGTCTGAATTCCTTGTGCAATTAGAGACCACACCATATAGCACCCTTCTGGACTATAGGGTTATGTCTAAGAAGTAAAGGGTTGATTTTCTTTATGCTGTACAGTCTCATTGTTTTACAGTCTCTCTTGGTTACTTTTTGTTTTCAACTAGATTATAAGCTAGTTAAGGGTCAGAGTCTAAGTCTTTATATTTTGGGACCTTCATAAATCCTGGAACAATGTTAAGTGATTGATGGGTAGAGGAGTTTGGGTAGAGGTGAAGACCAGGAGAAGTTGTATTGCATTGGGTAGGGCATTTCACCTTCCCAAGCCTCTGTTTACTATTCCTATAGTGTTGTGTGTTTTTTTGAGGGGTAAATGATACACATAATCTATAAAGTGCTCAGTATAGAACTTGGCACTTAGTAAATGCTCAGAGGAGCAAGAGATGACACTGGAATTAGTAGGAATACCTGATCCATATTTAAGATCCCTATTACTATGGAACCTCATTTTTTTAATATATGTTTGAGTCTCCTGCATACTGCCTAGGACAATGAATCCCAGAGGACCCTGGGTCCATCCCCAAAACTCACATTTTTCAATGTAACCTTCTCCGTATTGGTGTTTGATATCTGGAGACAGGTCCTTCCAAATGGCAAATTTCTTCTCAGCAGCCTTTACTGGATCTGATAATCCTGTTTTGAATAATCCAGGTTCGATGCAACAGACATGCACACCAAAAGCTTTCATGTCCCGTCTGAGTAAAAAACAAACAAACCATTGATGATGTTCAGTGGAGGTTCATTTGGAAAATGCTCGTGACATTTTCTTGTGAAACTTTTCACGGGATCAGAGAATCGGGTGCATTGGACAGGAGCTTCTTGTTCTGCCCTCTCAGTTTGCGGATCTGAAGGTCAGGGTGGTGAAGTGAGGGCTGGTTTAGTGACAGAACAGGACAGGGACCTGGGTAGACCCACCCCCAGCCCAGTGTTCCCCCTGAGCCTACTCTCATTGAATTGACAAGCATTTGGGCTGAGGACAGGTTTCTTTTCAGTACGTAGCATACTTTATGGTGAAATTGACCGATGACTGGTCTGGCTGGACAAGTTTACCTCCATTCTAGGAATGTGAGGAGACTGCAGCATGAATGAGGATATGCTGAGGGACACAATATGACTTGACTAACCTGTTCCCTAGGCCACCCAGCAAGCTCTTTCATCATCTCACTGCAGAAAACCCAAACCTATGCATTTACCAGGCAACAGGGTTTTGGCGAAATCATGGTCCCAGTTTCTTTAAATCCAGTTATGTGAATAATTTATTTCCTATATTTAATTTATATTTCTATCAAGAGTATATAAGGAAGTAATTATTCATTTTACAGAAGACTCTACCAACCATAAGACTTACTAAGAACTTTACCAGTAACCTTAAATTATGATTTAATTGATCTTATATTTTGCTTTCTAGTAACACACCTATTGTTTAGTTTGAAGTATATTTTAAAAAATGCAAATTAGCTTGATTTTGAAATAGTTTGAAGGGTACATTGCTTGCATTGAAATTAAAAAACATTATTTTTCAACCTGATTGTATTTTTCTCGCCTATCTTCTGATCTCCTGTGGGTTTGGAAAGTGTCAGTGCTAAAGGGGCATATGGGAAGACTTTCCTCTCCATCTACTCATGAAAATAACATCCTCCAGGGATAAATGGCTTTAAGTCATCCAATTAACCTTACCAGGTGAGTAAAACCAGTATGAAACCAGTATGTTGCTGGGAAAATACAGCTTTAAAGAGCCCCAACCCTTTCCCAATAGGACAGCTGCCCCCAAATCCTCCTGGAGCTGCCACTGGACTGTGGCCTGCATGCACAACACCATTTCCAACTCTTGTTCCATGACTTAGAAACTTATGAACACTCTCTACTGATTAATTTCAGGCATAGCCCAGCTGCGTTTGCAATCCCACAAACCCTTCCGTTGAAATATCTTTTTAAAATTAAGTATGTCTCTAAGTGTACTAACATTTTATTATGATACTGTTGCTGAGAGAGTGGAACCAAAGGGCAACCAAGCAGACTGATGGAGGTTCTCCATGACCTTGCTACTCAAAGTGTAATCCCTCAACCAGGGGCAGCACTTGGGTGCTTGTTATAACTGCAGAAACCCAGGACCCACCCCCAGACCCACTGAATCAGAACCTGCATTTGAAAAAGATCAAGGCGATTCATATGCACATTGACATTGAAGAAGCATTGTTCTGACATTGTCTTGTGTGTTTATTTCCTGAAAGAATTAAACCTGGCAACCTGACTCCAAATCGTAAAATGGAGTTGCTCTGTCTCTATTAATCTCTGTAGAATACTCTAACCTTTTACTAGTAAGCTACACCTAGATCCATGGTGTAGATCATAACTCTAACATGTACCTGCAACTAGTTAAATAAATAAATGGTTGACTTGAAGAAAAGACTGTATGTAATTTCATCTTTTCTCTTGCCTGTCACAGCACACTCTACTGGATACTTTCCATTTGCTCCACTGTCTCCTCCACCCTGTGTCTGCTCTCCACGCTGGGAGGCCTGCCTGCATTAACTATATTTTAGCTTCTGTTTGGTTCAGTCATTTGGGAGCAACAGAGGAAGAGCAGAGGAAGCAATGGGAAGAGGTTGGACAAGTTATTACTCCTGTGATGTTGACACTGGTTAATTTTATCCCTCAACTGAAGGTGACTGCCTCTATGTATGCAGGTTCTAGAAACTGCCCTTTCTTCTCCCTTCAGTCTTGTGGGTAGAGATGCCCCGGCTGTCATTAATTCCCTGGACATTACACTACCCTTTGGGATTTCACTACATGACTCCATGCTTGCCAATAGTCCTTTAAGTAAACTCTGCTCCATTTACCCAGTTTTAATGTCCTCCCTTTCCTACCAGAAACTTGATTGATACAACCTCTTGCAATTTAGGGGCTTTGAACTGAAAGTGACAGTTTCTGGTTCCAAGTAAGATAGACTACTTCCCCCGTCTCTCCCACTGAATGTAGCTACAAAACCTGGACAGAATGCATGGAGCAGCTATTTAAGAACTCTAAAATGCAGATGTTAGTAGGCAAGGGAGGGAAGAAGACCATGTTTTGAAGTGCCACTGAACCACTAGAAAAATACAATAACCAAAATGAAATATTTATCTGTTGGGCTCAATAGCAGAATAAAAGTGAAGGAAAGTCAGTGCACTTAAAGATAGATCATTAGAAATATCCGAACAGCAGAGAGGAAAACAATGGAAAAAGTGAAAAGAACCTTAGGGATCTGTGGGACAACCCAAAAGTTCTACCGTTTGTGTTATAGAGATTCAGAAGGAGAAGAAAGATTGGATTACAAAAAAAAGTTTGAAAAAATTAATAGCTGAAAACTCCCCAAATCTGGCAAAATACATAAACCTACAGATTTAAGAAGCCCTGTAAACCTCACACATGCTTGGGGGCCCCGAGTTGGGGCATTTATTTGTTAAACTGGTACTTTGTTTTGAGCTCAGGGGTTCTCTGAAAGCACACAGCCAAATGATGTGATAAGCCAACCATGTCAAACTCGTGGCCTGCAACAAATATTTTTGGGGCCCAGCCAATATAGCGTATGTAAGAAACTTTTTAATAAAAATGTTGTAACTTAATTTTTACAATATCCTACATAATTATTAATAATGAACTACAACATTCACTAATGACTGACCTCTATAATCATGTTGCGTTCATTTCCCTTATGCGCCTTACGCGCAGGCACACCATTTCTCTCCACTAATACTAGCAGCGAATATTCTAGCAGCTGATTGCCACGTCATTAGTCTTGGACTGACTTGTTTGGTGTGAGCAACAGGAAATATTTCGCTTTCAGAGAACAAGAAAGTTAGATTTATTTGCATTATGCTTATTAATTTGTGTAGTTATTCAGTGTCTGGTAAGTTAATGTTCAAGGAAAAAATATTAATTTTTACTAAAATGTTCTATTGTTTTATGTTAACGATTACTCATTTATTTCAGCCCTTTGTATTCAGCATGTCTCTATTGAAAAAAACCTGTGGTGTTTTTTTTTTTTTTTTGCAACGCTTATACATAAACTTAAACCTTGTTTACCTGGCCGGGGTTAGCCTTTGAGTTTGACATGCTTGTGATATGCTATATATTGGGAATAATTTAAAGCACTAAATAGAATGTCTGGTATAATAAACATTCAATAAATGTTAGCTGCTATTATTTCTTAATATATTTGCTTTACCTTAAGCTGTCATTGAAGGCTTCTACTGCGTATTTGGATGGTGTATAGCCTCCTCCACCAAATGCAAGACGGCCCCCAATGCTGGAGACATTGATAACCCTCCCTCGAGCTTTTTTGACCAAGGGAAGCATATTTAAGGTCACGTCGATGAGTCCGAACAGATTCACTTCTACGGGTTCTCTGTAGTCCTTCACCGTCAGCCAGTCGGTTGGAGCCAGCACACCGAGAACACCAGCATTATTGACCAGCCCCCAGAGACCTAGAACAGAGGAAGGAAAGGAGACGTGGTAGAAGCATCCTTAATGGAAATATAACCTCTGCTTTTCACAATGGTGCCATTTCCTCCTCTAGTCATACTCTTGCTTTGAAATACTCTACAGTTTTGGGAAGTGACAGCAGGAAGTGTGGGAGGCTGAACTGAAATAGTTGAACTTCTGTTACTGGAAGCCAGTATCACAGTTATTCTAATTTTTGGTTCTGAATGTCAAATGCTGCTACTCAGTGAGACCTTTTTGTTTTTTAATCTCAGATATAGAGTAAATTGGTCTATTTTTCTACCTTTCTAGATGGCAAGGCCAGAGCATATTGATAAACTGTTTATATGGATGAAGAGCTGCATCCATCTATTTCACCTTAATTTTTGGCAAAAAATTCCATCATTCACTTGGCTTATTTATATTGGGAAACATTTAATATGTGCAAAGGTGTTTGGAATTCAAGCTTTAAAAATTATGTGGAGTCTATCAAACCATTGTTTTTGAGGAATAGACTCTTAACTATATGATGAAGATGTGCTAGAGAAAAACATTTGTGGTTTTTTTTTTTTTCCCCATTTGTGGGCTTATTAAATATCTTCATCCATGAGAATACTTCAAACTTCATTCAAGCCAGTAAAAGTCCTCGAGTTCAGAATGCTGCCACCTTAGCAGAATGAGGCCCAATGACTCACTACTCTACCATGACTATGAAAGACACCTTTACTGAAATTCTGAGACCATTTTCTACATTGGCCATTTTGCAGTGAGAAGCAGATTTCAGGTATCCAGATGACAGTTTGGGAATTGTTCCCATATTCTCCTGTAGATTTTAACCCCAAGTTCCTTTGCTGTGTATGTGGCTAGAGTAGCACTTCACTGGGGAAGACCAGGAAAAGTTAAACGCCCACCTCAGTTCTACCTTCACCAGTGGGACTTAAGACTCAGGATAGCTTGAGCTGTGTTTCTCCTGTACGCCCAGGGACTATTCAGGGGCTATCCTAAGATTTCTCCAATCTTCTCCAGTGTATAGTGGGCATTTATGAGACATTTTCTTGAAAGGCCCCTTAATATTCAAGCACATTTTACTAGCTTTAGTTACTTCGCAACACCCCTTCCATTCTTCCCAGCCCCACGTCATTCACCTTTTTCCCCAACGTGGTCTTTCACCCACTGGGCAGTCCTCTTGACATTCTCTGGGTCAGTCACGTCCAGAAGCACAGTGTGAAGCCTCTCGGAGGTTTCCGCCTTTAACGCTGTTGATCCCGCGTCAGTCAGGCAGGCAGCAATCACGCGAAATCCTTTCTTATCAAAAGTCCTGGCCGCCAAGTTTCCAAAGCCCGAGTCACAGCCAGTAATGAAAATGTACTTATCAGCGATGTCTGCAATCTCTGGTTGTCTTTTACCAGCATAGTTCCATAGAAAACCACAAAGGACTAGGAGGGCTAACACCCATAAGAACATTGTTTTCCTGTAGCCACAAGATTACTTCTTTCTTGAACAATAAAATAAGATGTTGTCCTGAGTGTACAAAATTAGAAAGAAAATTCAAATTAGGACCATCAAAGCATCAGACCCAGGATGGATGAACTTGAGGTATTTTAAGACATTTGAGTGGATACATAGTTTTTAAAACAACTCCTTTGCTTAGGAAGATGGCCATTTAAGTGCTAAACCACTTCTCTAAAGTAACACAAAAATTAACCAAGTAATAGTAAAAAAAGTAAGTGGGAGAAAGAGAAAGAGAGAGAGAGAGAGAGAGAGAGAGAGAGAGAGAGAGAGAGAGAGAACTCTGAGACCCTTACAACTCAGTGCAGACAGTGTTGAAGTGCAAGGCCACCAGTGAGTTCATTGAGAGAAGGTGAGATGAATAGGAAGAGATTGAAAGACAGATGATGGCCAAGGGCACAGAATCCTAAACCACAATCAGTAATCCTCAGATTCTGACCTCTCTGGATTCCAGCTTCCTGTGAGAAAAAAAATCACATGTACAGAGGACAAAGTAGAGCCAATTCATACTTTAAAATTGTGAGGCTTTGACCATAGATGCAGGAGATTGACCTGGAAAACTAATTTTGTCAGGACTGGAGATAACCTCGGGCCTAAAATCAAACAGGCAGAGAGAACCCTGGGCATAAATCACTTTAATTTTTTTTTTAAAGAAAATTTTATTATTTCATGAACACTTACTGCAGCAATTTAGAATTCTCACAATTATTTTTAGATTAAGAACAAATGTTAAAGAAACAGTGCTAAAGGAATTTTATAGTCTTGACCATTTAAATGTATATGCCACCTTGAAAGGTCCACTAAATATTGTATAGGGTTTGGCTACCTATAATAATAAAAGCGTAATATGCTAATTAGACCAAACAGCCTAACGACCTTCCGGGCGACCTTCAGGATGAAGCTGGGGCTGTGAGGGCCAAGACCCTTGCATGAGTTTCATGCATTGGGCCTCTAGTAAAATAATAGTTGTGGATGAATGAGGCATTACCTCATTGAAAGCAAGTATAATATTAGTTTGGAAGTGTAATATCAAAACTATCACGGGAAAAGATTTCAGACTATCTTAGAATATAAAATTCCATGTATAATACAGTGTTATTCACAAAGACAGCCAACCCTATTACTTTTACTGTGGGTAATGATGTCTGGGGAAGAGCAAGCCATCTGGTAGGAGGAAATGAATAAGAGCTGTAGGGCTTTGCCTACTTGCCTCAGGTCTGTGCATCAAGGCAGCCCAGGCTCCTACCTCACAGCTATAAGGCAGCCCAAAGGAAGCTTATCAGGTCCCACCCCACAGAGGAGCAGCCATGGCCTGTATTGGCTCTCTCTGCTTATGGAAGGAAGAGAGGCCACAGAGAACATCCCATGTGAGAAAGGCCTTATTCCTTCCCCCATGGAGCCTCAGAGTTCCCTCACTTTGCCGTAGGTCCACACACACCTTTACCCTTGACCCGGAAACACCCTTAGAATCAAGAGAGGCCTTAAGTACCTCATTGAGGACAATGGATAGATAGGCCCTGAGTTCAAGTTTAGGCTTTATGGATGCTTCTGGAATCATGGCTGCTCATAGACACTGTGTTCAAAAAGTACTGGGAAGGCCAAGAAATTTTATAAATTTCGTTTGGGCTTTTTAATACATATAATGATTTTCTGGCTTTTCCTTTGAATCATTTTTTAAAATTGCTCCTTTTTTTCAGCTTGTAAAAGTGACTTGTGCTCATGGTAAAAAATATTTAGCAAATGCAGAAAAACAAGAGAAAGTAATGATTATCACATTTGACTCTTAATATTTTATGGGTTTTTTTTCTAGTTTTTTTCCTTTGCATATAAATATTCCCCACATAATAAGGATTTTAAACACACACAGAGAGATAAAATTAAACATACACACACTCATGTGCACACATACAGACAATTTTATTTCTACTGCTTTATAAGGAACAGGTCATTTCAGATGAAAAATGACTCAATGTAATGTAACTTCTTCACTTCTCAAGGAAATTTTAGGTTCTGCTTTCATTTCCGCCCCCTAACAAAAGACCTATAGCTAAAGAAAGAAAGGGTAAAAAAAACCTGTCAATTGATAAAAATTATTCAGAGGTAAATATTAAAATATGGTAGGTTTGGTCCTAGCTGGTTTGGCTCAGTGGATAGAGCATCGGCCTGTGGATTGAAGGGTCCCAGGTTTGATTCCAGCCAAGGGCATGTACCTTGGTTGTAGTGTGTATGGGAGCTAACCAGCCAATGTGTCTCTCTCACATGGATATTTCTCTCTGTCTCTCCCCTTCCCCTTCACTCTCTCTAAAAAATAAATGGAAAAATCTCCTCGGGTGAGGATTAACCTACAAAAAAAGGTAGGTTTGGGCAAACTAGTTGATTCTTGTGGTATGGCTGTGATTATTTCTAAAGCAGTCAAGTTTTTAGACTATACTGACTTAATAATTTGGTGTAGTTTCTCCAAATCTTCCCTGTGTAGGAGTTACTGATTTGTTGCAAATCACTGTCCACGTAGCAGAATTTCCCCTTCTCGAATACATAAATACATTAAAATGTATAATTTGGGGGTGGGGGTGTAACTAATTTTTATAAAATTATCTATGTAGACATTTTAAGGAAATTTTATATTTATAAATTCAACTAGAATAGTGTTTTGCTTAAGTTTGGCCTTGGTAAATAATTATCGAATAACTAAATACAGTATTGAATGCATTGCCTGAATGGAATCTGTAGGCTTCATTGCAATTCAAATCCCATGGAAATTATTTGAAAAAGGCAAATGCGCACACAGGTTAATGTGTCCTGAAGCAGAGAGTGAGACTTTCTGTGTTGTCCTGTTTTGCCAGAGAAAAGCATAAGGGGAGTCACAGTAAAACAATGGCTCACCTTTCTGAAGCCTTCTCCACTGCACGTTTACTTTTAACTCATTTGATCCTCTCAACAACATTGTGAGTTAGACAGGGCACATTATTTGCCTCATTTTACAGAAGAACTAATATTCCAACTAATAAATGTAAAAGGAATGGTGGAATTAGAAAACCACCAATTTTTTTCAGGCAAGAATGTTCAATGGATGCTAAAACTAGTGGGTGAAATTCTGATGAGAAAAAAATAATTATAGAATTTCAAAGAATCTCCCCATAAGATGCATACTAACTTAAAAAAAAGAGCAATAGTAATTTCACAGTGGAGAAATCCAACAGACCACCACCTGAATCAACTTACATGTAAAAGTGCAGTGTAGGAGGTTTCACAAAGGTAAGCCATTGTTTTACTGTTACTCCCCTTATGCTTGCCCCTGGCAAAACATGACAACACAGAGTCTCCACTCTCGTCTCTAGGAGACATTAAACCCCATGAGCACTTGCCTTTTTCAAATAATTTCCATGGAATTTGAATTGCAATGAAGCCTACAGATTCCATTCAGGGAATACAGTCAATATTGATTTATTCAAAGATTATTTATCAAGGCCACACTTAAGCAAAACATACACTAGTTGAATTTATAAATATAAAATTTCCTTAAAATCTCTACATATGAAATAACAATTAATAGCACTGGTTATGGGACAAACCAAGGTCATGTGCCTCCTGGTATGGAACACTCTTCAGAACCCTCAAAGTCAGGAAGGCAAAGAAAGATAGGAATACAGCTGTGTCAGTCTGAGTGTGATCATAAAATGAGAGTCACTATAAGAATGATAGAAACAAGGAGTGTCATATGGGAATCAGGGATTACATGGTTATAGTGGTTGTGGGGGAGTGAGGGCCTGGAAGGATGAAGCCGAGAGATCAGGAACAGTTACTAGTGACGCCAGCCTGAAGCCCTGGACCAGTGGTCGGCAAACTGCGGCCCCTTGAGTGTGGCTCTTCCACAAAATACCACGTGCGGGTCCGCACATACAGTGCGATTGAAACTTCGTGGCCACACTCAAGGGGTCAAAGAGCCGCATGTGGCTCGCGAGCCGCAGTTTGCCAACCACTGCCCTGGAGCATGGAGAAGCTGCAGCTTGTAGCGAAGTTGAGAAATGGCTACCACCGTGACCATAATGCAAGAGCTCATGAAGCAGCCTGCAAAGCCTCCGTGTCTTATCATGGCGACTTCTCAAGAGCATGGTTTCCACTTCACTCCTTTATTCTGATCTCAAATAATGAACTTTGTATTATTAATTTTTTTTTTAAAAGAAAGACTTAAAACTGTACCAGGTGCTACACTGGGAAGGATGCAGAGCACACCTATGCATAACCAGAAGCTAATCATGCACAGACAAATCTTTCAGTTCTACTTAATACATGGTCTGTACTCTTCAAACACATCAAAGTCATGAAGGAAAAGGAAGACTGAGGACTGTTCCAGGTAAATGAAGACTAAAGAGATGTGACAACCCAATGCAACACGTGATCCTGGACCAGAAAATCTTTTTTCTGTCGTTATCTCCCGAGGGGTCCCAGACTGCAAGAGGGCACAGGCCGGTCTGAGGGACCCCCCCTTCCCCCGAGTGCACAAATTTTTGTGCACTGGGCCTCTAGTTTAGAAAATAATAAGGATATGTATACAAATAAACATATAAAAACACATATATATGTACATAAAGAAAGAATGAGAATAAAACTGTGATTAAATGCTAATATTTAGAAAATCTAGGTAGAACTTTTCCATAAGTTCTAAATTATTTCAAAATAAAGGGTGGAAAATTTGGCAAGGGAAAATAAAACATTTTTCTAAGAAAAGACTTCATTGGATTGCTTTGTGTCTCATGCACAAAATAGGTAAGAACTCCAGGACTTCAGTATCTAGTGACTTTGTGCACCAAGTTTTCTGCCTTATACTTTCTGGTAAGTTCACCTCCACACTTTCTGGAGAAAAACAAAAACTCAAGCCAAAGCAGTCATCCTATCCCTTCCCCTCCCCTCCCCTCCCCTCCCCTCTCTTCCACTCCCCTTCCCTTTCCCTCTCTTTCTCTCCTCTCCTCTCCTCTCCTCTCCTCTCCTCTCCTCTCCTCTCCTCTCCTCTCCTCTCCTCTCCTCTCCTCTTCTCTTCTCTTCCCTTCCTTTCCATCTCCCTCTCAGCCTACTCCTTACCTAGCCAAACCCATTTTTATCTAGTAACAAGAAAACAGAGAGGAGCATTTTAGTTGTTAAAGATGGGCTCACATTAAATTGTGTTGTCAGGTCCTGGTCGGTTAGCTCAGTTGGTTATAATGTTGTTCCAATGTTCCAAGGTTGCAGGTTTAATCCCCAGTTAGGGTACATACAAAAAGAAACCAATCCTATCTAATAAAAGAGTAATATGCAAATTAACCATCACTCTGACACAAAGATGGCAGTGCCCATAGCCACAAGATGGCAGCGCACAGTCCTCTCAGCCCCGCTGGAGTTCTCCAGTCCTGGGGAGCAGCCGCTGAGAGCAGGGCCTGCTTAGCCGTCACCAGCAGTGACCTGGGAGTGGCCAAGCAGGCCCCGAAGACCACGCACAGCAGGGCCTGCTTGGCCGTCACCAGCAGCGACCTGGGAGTGGCCGAGCGGGCCCCGCAGACAGCAGAGAACCACGGGGAGTGGGCCTAAGCCGTCAGTAGGACATCACCTGAAGGCTCCCAGATTGGAGAGGGTGCCGATCAGGCTGAGGGACCCCCATTCCCTCCCCCTTCGTGCACAAATTTCGTGCACTGGACCTCTAGTGAATACATGAATGAGTGGAAAAACAAGTTGATCTCTCTCTCTCTCTCTCTCTCTCTCTCTCTCTCTCTCTCAATCAACCAATAAGAAAAAGGAAAAAAAATTGTGTTGTCTTTATGAGGTTCACCTCTGGGCTCAGGGTCATTTCATATGCTAGTGTCCCAGCCTGCAGCCTGCATCCTGCATCCAAGGGACTGCCAACCTGACCTAGAATTTTGCAAAGCCTATCCTTAACTCAAATATTATTGTTAAAAAAATACTGGTTCTTCCTCAGTCCCTAAGGCTCACATTCCTCTAGGTCAGTGGTCGGCAAACTCATTAGTCAACAGAGCCAAATATCAACAGTACAATGATTGAAATTTCTTTTGAGAGCCAAATTTTTTAAGCTTAAACTATATAGGTAGGTTCATTGTTATTAACTTAATTAGGGTACTCCTAAGGCTTAGGAAGAGCCACACTCAAGGGACCAAAGAGCTGCATGTGGCTCGTGAGCCGCAGTTTGCCGGCCACAGCTCTAGGTCATTGGACCAAGTCAGCTAAAAACCAACATTAACCTCTAATAGTATTTTAGCCACGATGCCACCTCTGAGCAGCAGTCCTCGGTCAGAGTCATTGGGAACATGACCTTTACACAGAAGCTGATTCACGGCCCATTGGTTCATTGACCACTGAGAAGTAAATGAGTAACAGTGACTAACAGGGCTGCCTCAACCATACCCTGCCCCTGTGGTCACCTCCACATGGCTCCCTAATCCCAGCAATTCAGAGACTCAGGACACTGACCTTAGTTGCTTGGGTTGCTTGCTTATTTTTCTATCTTCCAATTTATCTCACAGAAAACTGCTTAGTAGAAGTACAAATCTCTTGGTTCAAGGGAATAAGCACCTCGGTCTATAACCTAGTTCTCTTAGTACCCAGTGGCTGTGAGCCTAGGTACTGGGCAAGTTTGGGAACAAAGAGAAAGCAGATCTGCAGCCCCTAGGCCGCAGTGCCTGAGGACAGGTGCAGCGCTAAATGTGCCTCCTCCGATGAACTGGCCATGGAGATTTTTCTTAAGCCACAATGAACACTAGCCACTTCACTAGTAAAATCTGGCAACAAGGACTGACACCACGCATGCACATGAGCACACACACATATAGACACACCCGCACACACTAGAGCAGGTGAGGAGCCCAGGCCTCAGAATCTGGCTAGCAGAAGTCCAGTTCCAGTTGCTCTATCATCAGAAGGTCTTTGGGAAAATTATCACTTCTTAGACTCTACTTTCCTATCTGTAAAATAGAGATAATAGCTACCTTGGAGCATACCCAGCAAAATAAGATGACTAAACGCCTGTTAAGCAGGAAGACCTTTATGGTGATGTCAGGATCAGTGGCTCTCACTGTGTGAAGGGTCTGCTCTATGTACTGCTCATACCTAGGCACAGCTTTCTCAACTTCAGCAGGTTTGATATTTTGGCCTGGAAATTACTTGTCCTGTATATTGCAGGATGTTTAGCAGTACCTTCAGCCTCTACCCATTCGATGCCAGTAGCCCCCTCTCCCTAGTTGTGACAACCAAAAATATCTCCAGACATTGCCATGTGCCCTGGGGGTCAAAATCACCTCAAGTTGAGAACCACTGGTGTAGAGCTTCCTCACCTTGGGGATCCAGAGCTTCATAGCATCCAGAACTGCTTTTCTGGAAACTCAGTCATTAATTCCTTGGTAATGCCGTATTGATGAGAGATTACTTTTTAATGGCCTTTCAGAAAAGTTTTGTTACTTATAAATGGTACTCATATCCTGCTGCTGTAAGTATTAATTTCTAGGATTAAAATAAAAGCCTTTTTGCCATCAGGAGGACAGGAAGCAGTGAACAAAACTGAATTAGCACCAGACACTATTTTTGAATTTAGAAATTACTAAATTAGTACTCGCTGCATTTGTGAGGCCTACATTCTGGCTGAAGCTTTTGAGTTTGGGTCACTATAGACTCCTCTGGGGGTGCCCTGCAGATGGGTGGCCTGTTGACTCTACAGAGTTCAGAATATGCTCCTAGACAAACCAACCCATGGTCCTCGGGCTTTACAGGTGACCGCACCAGATAGGAATGGCTATAATTTATTGAAAGCTTACCGTGTTCTAGGCCCTCTGCTAAGATCTGTAAATATTTACCTCATGTAAAACTTATAATAAAATGATCTCCGTTTTATAGACGAGGAAACAAATTCAGAAAAGCAGGTTAATTGGCTTAAGATACAGTTGTAGACTGTTTCTGGAACTGATTTCTAGGCCATTCTACTCCACCATCACGCTTTCATCCTCTGCTCCGCTGCCCCCTGGATCCCCAGCTCTGGAAGTCTGGCTGTGTGTACACTCTTCTACATGGCCAGTGCCTTTTGTGATACTTGGCATTAACTAAATACATGCTGTGGAAGGAAAGAGAGGATAAAAAGAAAGAAGTTTCCACTCTAACCCCAGAATTGGATTGGTGATAACCGGATTAATCTTTGAGCCCTCTCAGTTATCAGGGAATAAATAATAATAATAATAATAATAATAATAATAATAATAGTCACACTTCCAATTAGATAACTTCAGAAATTTTTGAAAAGTGTTCAAGTAATATTTATATCATTTAATTGTTAAACTAGCTCTGTGAGCCAAGTAGGATAGGTATCATAGGTAAGTTTATTTGCCAGAGAATGGCTAGAACTAAAACTTCCATCTCTGAACTAAACTGTAAAATGAGAAGGAAGAACTACAAAGAGATGGGCACATTATCAGTCAACAGGAAGAATGAAGATACTTTATCAAAATTCTCTACCATGTCACAAAGGTGCCAAAGGAACAGAGAAAGGAGAAGTAATTTTCTCTTTCATTTGCCATGCAAAGTGCTTAAAGTAGCCACCGGACTGCAGCTATGGGAAAATGTTGCAACTTGATTGCTGTCCATGCTCACTTCTGCTTCTTCTAACTTTCTCTTTCTGGCTTTCTTTTCCTAGTAGAAAATCTAAAATAAGATCCTTTGATTTCACTTCCTTTATTCATCGTCCTCTGCCCTTTAAAAATAAATCACACACACACAAATGGAAAATAATGTCTCGATGGCATTATGAAGTATACTTTTTATATGAAACATTGAGTTCTTTCTACATCACTTGATTTTATTTCACATAGGTCCACAGAGGGCTTTGTTTGAGAAAGCAGTACTAAAACTGTCAACACTGATAGGAATCTGTACCATCTTTATTTACCTTTAATTTATTGTAATCGTGGCCTAACTTGAATCAACAATTAAGTTATTTATCTACATTCAATAGAGAGCATTTAGCAATTGCTTTCTAAAATACTCTATTTTTGAGGTTTTCTTGCACAGGCTTTCTTAATACTGACAGTGGTCTAGACATGTCAGTCTCTTGAACATTTAAATATTGTAAATCTGGTTAACTTACCTTGGAATTCATTTTTGTTTTTCCTTTTTCAATGAAGTAAGAAATTCTGTGTTTTTTAAAACCCAAGTAACCTTTCACAGATTTCTGATGTATTTGGGCCAAAAACACACACACACACACATTTGGGCCAAATGACACAAGCTAAATGACTAATGAATTATGTTTCTATGGGGAAAAAATGTTTAAGTTAGGCACCAGAAAGCTCAATAAAAATTTAAGATGGAGCCCTGGCCAGTTTGGCTCTGTGGATAGAGCGTCGGCCTGTGGACTGGAAGGTCCCAGGTTTGATTCCAATCAAGGGCATATCCCTTGGTTGTGGGCTCAATCCCCAGTAGGGGGCATGCAGGAGGCAGCCGATCAATGGTTCTTTCTCATCATTGATGTTTCTATCTCTCATTCCCCTCCTTTCCTCTCTGAAATCAATAAAAATAAAAATAAACATTTTTTAAAAAATTTAAGATGGAGCCAAGGGGTTCTACATGGAATATGCTTACATTAAGCAACAAATGCTCTCTTGAGGATCTGATTAAAATGACAGTAATAGTGATTATGATGCTACTTATATGGAGTTGATCCCTCACTCAATGGGATGAAGAAGCTCCTGCACCCAGTACATTTCCCTTGCATCCTGCTTCCTGCAGCAGAGAGAGGCTTGTGGTACTCTGTGTGCCTTTTGTGTAGGGGTGGGGGCGGGGGTGACGGAGGGGGGCCAGCGAGGCGTGGAGAAGTAGTTCTTCCTCTGCAGACTCATTCAGTCTCCGCACAGAGGCGTGCCAGCCGCTCTCAGCGTAGAAGACCTGCTGGATGTCTGCTTGGCATTTTTAGTTCTAAGGATAAAAGTATCTCTGATTTCCTTCTGCCTCCTCTCAAAACTCTTAACTTATATTCACCATAGCACCCATAAATATTAATTAATTATTCCCAGTCCCTCCTGGGCTTATTACTTTGTCAGTATGCCCCCTGACAGTACTGGCAGGTTAAGAATTATTGTCAAAGCCACGGATCCTTTATTTATGGTCACCAAATTAAAATTGCTAACTGGAAGAGATTATATATTATATCTTATCATACATGATAGTTACAAGGCTTCAAAGAAAGCTTAGAATCTAGGGAGAATGCTATAGAGAGATGCAGAAAGTGTGTTCAAATATTCAATATATTTCTTTCAATCATAGTTATCTTTCAGCAGAAGAAAAGATCTGAGTTTTTAAAGATGGTATCTTAAGAAAATGGAATTTGTTGTGAGAGTATTAAGACCAATTTCCATTTTCCCCATTTGAAATGTATGTAATAATAATTTTTTCTTACATATAAACATTGAGGTTTGTTCTAAAAATTGGGCACAGTTTTCAAATCTTAAAAATACAATGCAAAGATGATATAACATTTCAATTTCATTTTATGCAGCAATTAGCCAAGGATATTTTTAGAGCACCTAATATATGCCAAAGGATACTAAGATAAGCATAGTCCTTATCCTTGAGCAAATAGTATAGCAGGACATTTCAGAGCCATTTGTACAGCCCCAAACTGAGTTTTAATTTCAACGTGTTTTATTTAAACTCTTTCCGCAACTGCTAAAATCAGTCCATGGAGAGAAAGCACCACAGCACCGCTTGAATCATACAGCCTTCAACAAGGGCTGCCAGGATTAAATAGCAACAAAACCACTAACCCAACTTTCTCCTTTAAAAGAAGTCGAAGTGAAAACATCCACCACTGCATCCTATAAAAATGGAGAGTAAAACCTGAAGCAGGTTTACTGCTGTCAGCCCGGGACCCAGGAGCCCTGTGTGCACAGGGAGGAATCTCCCTGTCTGGCTGACCCAGCAGGCATTCGCACCAGTTTGGTGTGTGTGCACATTTGTCTACAACTCCACATGGATGTCTGATAACACTGGTGAAGCAGATAGATACACATCAGCCCTGCAGCTGGGAGCAAATGTGTTGTTCCAGTAAGAAACTCAGCTAAGGTTCCTATTGTTTTTGAGCCCCTCCTCACTGCAGTTTCACAGACGGTACTGAATAGTCCCTGAGAAAATAACTAGACATCAATTTAATTGTAACTGTAGGGAGCTAAAGAACATTCAAAGAGAGACTGCGGAGCTCAAGGCTACGTCCCAGGTGACACTCAGATCACTTCTATTGTGAGGTGGACCCAGTACTGCCTCACAACATTTTAATTTTTTTCTTTTTAAAGCAACAGTCACCACAACATGAAAGACAAAGGCTAAACCACAACATCAAAGACAGTTTGAAGATTGACATGAGCAGTGAAGGAATAAATAACAAAGCTGAGCCATGTGTTACCTTTTTAAAGACGACCTGGGAGTGGAAGCTGCTGTGGACTTGCTAGGCTGATTGCGATCTGTCGTCTGTGCTGGGGAAGGAAGAGTTGTGTCACTCTGGCCAGGCTGATCTCTGGAAGTGGAGGTGCTCTGAGTACCTACATGTGTAAGGAAGTGTCAGGCTCCCTCCTCACTCTGTGAGTCACCCTTGTTGTGACACTTGATGATGACTAAGCCTTCTATGGATGAAGTAAAGCCATGAAGCTGTGGGTCATGTGTTTCCAAAAGACAGTATTTTTTAGCAAATTAAATTTAGCAACTTTCAGAAGGGACTTAAAAATGACCAATAACTTTCCTTTAACTGTGAGGACAATTTTTTGGCCAAATTAGGGAGCTGAAATACTATATCATTGAAGCATTTTGTAAAATGCCTGGCACCAGGCTTGAGTTGTGATTATTGTTCATGATCTCTAGGTTGTTTGTTGTCTTCCTTCCTTCCTTCTTTCCTTCCTTCCTTCTTCCTCCTTCCTTCCTTCCTCCTTCCTTCCTTCCCTTCCTTCTTCTTCCTTCCTTCCTTCCTTCCTTCCTTCCTCTTTCTTTCTTTTCTTTTCTTTCTTTCTTTCTTTCTTTCTTTTCTTTTCTTTCTTTCTTTCTCTTTCCTTCTCTTCCTCCCTCCCTCCCTCCCTCCCTCCCTCCCTCCCTCCCTCCCTCCCTCCCTCCTTCTTTCTTTCTTTCTTTCTTTCTTTCTTTCTTTCTTTCTTTCTTTCTTTCTTTCTTTCTTTCTTTCTTTCTTTTACTGTGCCTTTACTGATTTAGTACTCTTTCAGTCCTAGGAGAGTTGGTAGGGGAAATGAGTCTCTGATTATTTATTTATTTACTAGAGGCCTGGTGAATGAATTCATGCATGGGTGGGGTCCCTGGGCCTGGCCGGCAATCGGGGCCAATTGGGGCCATCTTGCCCAGTCCAGATTGGGACCTACCGACTGCGGGGAGGGACCACGGGAGGTTGGCTGTCGGAGCGCACTGGCCACCAGGGGGCAGCTCCTGTGTTGAGCGTCTGCCCCCTGGTGGTCAGTGCATGTCACAGCGACCAGTCGTTCTGCTGTTAGGTAGATTTGCATATTAGGCTTTTATTATATAGGATTTATTACCACTTTTATTAAAACTATTGGTGAGCAAGGAGACCAAAACAATTTAATGAAACAAGGCTTTGGATTTATTTTGAGTCTTACTTTAATGAGTGTTTTAAAGTATGACAAAAAGATCTTTCTGAAGTGGTAACGGGAACTGAGATCACTGAGAATAGGAAAGGATGCCCCGTCCCTCCCCAGAGTTGATCTGTTTCAGAGTGTATTATAATTGACCAGGCATGTCCTGAAAAGTATTGAGGTTACAGGTGATGAGGGGGAAGTCATGCTGCTAATATGTGCCACCCCTCCAGGCTTGCACCTTGCCCTTAGGCACGCAGGCTGATGGATGGGTATACACTCCACTGAAGCTGTTTAGTTTCAGTTTCCTAATATACCAGTTTATGGTTATACATCTCAGATTCCCCAGGCTTCTTTTGTGTTCCTTCTTTTAAAAATGCAGTTTATTAAGATTTAGTTGGGGTGAGTGGATGAATAAATATATCTGTCTATCCAGGTTAAGTCTAGACATTGCTATTATCCTATAAATTAAGTGGGGAATCTTTTTTTTTTTTCTCCAAAAGAATTTCATTTCCTCAGGTAAAGATTAGGGTACCAAACATGTGCCAAATATACATTTCCCCTTTAACATCCCATAAGTCAGAGTAAGACTTAAAGAGAAAACCTTTTAGAGAAATAATACATTGACTTAAATCCACATGAGGAAAGATATAAATGATTAATATTGGACCCTTCTTGTGAGCAAGTTATTGCCACTGAGAGGTGGAGAGAGTTGCAGGCATCTGGGTAGCCATGAAGTAGAGAAGGGCGAAGGACAAAGAAAAGGCTATTTAAGTTTTGCTGATTCAATACTCTAGTCTAGTGTAGGTCTGTTTTAAAAACATCCCAATATGGACAAAAAAGGGGCCACATACTAAACATGACAAACTCAGGAGAGGCCAGCATGGTGGGCCTTACAAACTCAGAGACTGAAGTACCCACATAGGATGGTCTGATCATACACATTCTAACTAAAAGCAGATCATGGTGTGTAGTCACATCCTGGGCCTGTTGCTTCCTTAACAAAGGTCAATCTTTATCTTGAGTGAGCCTGTCTATTGTCCTTCTGCATCTAAGATAGGGATAGGGAACTTCCGGCCTGCTGGCCCTATGAGACCGGAGAAATCACTAAGGTCTAGTCCTGCCAAGGTATTAGGGGTGAGTTAATTAAATGTTGGACCAAATACAGCAGGCTAATTTTTAAGTTGATCATTTTGTATGGCCTTCAAATGATGTCATAAATATCCAAATGGTCCTTGGCAGAAAAAAGGTTCCCCACCCCTGATCCAAGATAACATACCTTTGAAATATCAGAGTAATCTTTTCTAGACCCCCTCAGGGCACAACCTCTCTACCCTAGCACCAGATCCCAGGAATCCTCATTGTTATTTTGTTCCCAGAATAACAACTCTACTAGTATATGCTATAAATGATCATTATTAATATTACCCTGTAACCCCCAAGATAAAAGAAACCTGTGTCACGCTAGCCAGCCAGTTTGACTCATTGGATAGAGTATCCCCTCCCCCCACCTTAGACTGAAGGGTTTCAGGTTTGATTCTGGTCAAGGGCATGTACCTCCGTTGCAGACTCAATCCCTGCTTCAGTCAGGCAGGTGCAGGAGGCAACCAATTGGTGTGTCTCTCTCACATCAATGTTTCTCTCTCTGTCTCCCCCTCCCTTCCACTCTCTCTAAAAATCAATGGAAAAAGAAACTCGGGTAAGGATTAACAACAACAACAAAAAAGAATGGTATGTCTCTCCATCTTATTTTTTATCCAGTCCCAGAGATATCCCCTGATTTGATCTCTCCTGCCCCCTTAATCTACCACCAATGGCTTTCATGCAACCCTTCTTTGATTCTAACATAAAATAAGCTGCAAAACTGCCATTTTCTCAATCTGTTGAGATTTTGCCTCCTGGCATTTGTTGTCAGTTTGGCTCAAAAAAATTCTGTATAGGTTTAGAAATTTCTTACATCAATACCAAATAGACTTTTTTTTTTTTTTTAAAAAAAAGATGTTTTGACTGATTTGTGTATTGAGAACTAGAACTAGAACTCTTGCTATGTCTAAATCCCTCAATTCCAGTGCACCCAGGTTTTTAAGAGTTCAGTTTTAGTAGCCCTGGCACCGGGGTTGGAACATTTGCTTCTCTGGTCAAATGGTCCTATTTAGCTGTTCAGTTAATGGAATCATTTGCCAGCAGCACTTTATCCGGCCTGTAACTATATCTGCCTTCAAATTCACCTCGTAAGTGCTGATTTTTCCTTCATTCCATTCTGTAATAAGACAACCTAGGAAAGTGCTATTTTGTTCAGAACTCACTCTACATTAGACTTCTGGCCATCCAAGGTGATGTAAAAAATCCAGAACTGAATTGCCATAGTATTTTTTTCCTAATTCCTTTTTAAAACAGAAGATTGCACAGTGGATTTCATTTAAATGCAAATGTAAATGTTGACAAACGGTAATTATAGAGGGGTAAGGCTAGATACTGCAAAACACTAACATGACTCTCCTTTTCCTTCTAAATTCATAGGCCCCCATTTTTCCCTCCAAAGGTGCCTTCTCCACCCTTTTCAGACACCACAATACAAGGAGAATATTTAGATTCTTGGCTGTCTCAGATGACATGCATTGGGCTTCTCAGATGACACACATTTGGTAACTGCACAGGGCTGAACATGGAGCAAACCACAGATAATCCTGAAATGGGAGTCAAATGGAGAAAAGCACTTCCAGCAGGAGTGTGGCTGGTGCTACTCTTGTAAGGATAGTGGGGGCCAAGGCTGTCATGGGGTGTGCATGTTGACCTCCCCCTTCCTGGCATAATTATAGAATCCTGTCTCCAAGGTCACCCTCAGTGGAGTGCATTTCTCTGAATAACTATGAATTGGTACTAGGACTGTATATTTTTATTAATTTTTTTGTTGTATTTTTAAAATGTTTAAATTACAGTTTTCATTCAATATCATTTTGTATTAGTTTCAGTTGTACAGCGTAATGGTTAGCCATTCATATGCTTTACAAATATTTTCAATACCCAACAGGCACCACATGTAGTTATCACAATATTAATGACTGTACTTCTCAATCCCTTCACCTTTTCATCCATTTCCCCAAACCCTTTCCCCTCTGGCAATCATCACTCTGTTCTCTGTATCTGAGTCTGTTTCTATTTTGTTTTGTTTATACTGTTCTTTAGGTTCCACCTATAAAGGCAATCATGTGGCATTTGACTTTATATTTTTAAAAGAGCATTTTGTAATTTCTATCTCCTCCCTTTATCAACAGAACAGCTCTTTTATTTCCACTATAGAAGTCTCCCTTGCTACATCAACAATACCTTTGACATTGGAGCAGAGCAGGTCAATTGTAAATGATGCCCATGAATGCATAGCTAGGTTTGGTCAAAACTAGGAGCTTTGTTACTCATTTGTCATTTCCTGACTCTCCCAACTGTAAAATGAAGCTGGGCTAATCTTTTGTTCCTCTACACTGTAAGATTCTTGGAAATACTATTAGGGACTGAGTCATGAGAACTTTTGGTAGATTCTTTGAAGAAAGATTTTTCTTATTTGCAGAACACACAACCTTTTAGCTTACTCAAACAAGAGATCTTAGTTTAAAAGGTAGGGTGAGGAGTATTATATTGGAGAGCATTGTTCTGAAAAGGAGCAAGAGAGGTGGGTGAGAAGGAAGGTAAAGGACCAGAAACACTAGGGATGCTTGGAAACAGGGAGACTTGCAAAAAATAAGATGGGAGCCTTAATAAGAAAAATGTGACTCTCAAGAGGAGCGTGTTAGGATCCCTGAAGAAGGAACATAAGAGGCCCAAAGAAGTAAAGAATTACAAATTTATTAGGTCATCTGGGGACCAGATGGGCTGAGTCCCCATATGGCACCAGCACCCAAGGATGGGGAGTCAGAGGTGTTAAAAGACC